GGACCGAATCTAGGAAGAGGCGAAGTCTCTCGGGCCGAAACTGGGATGGGGCGAGGTCTCTCGGGCCGAACCTCACTCTCGGTTCCGCCTTCTCAGCCACTCTCGGTCCCTTCTCTTCTCCGCCTCTCGGTCTCTTCTCCGCCTCTCGGTTCCTTTCCCTCTCTCGGTTCTTCCCTTCCCTCTCTCGGTTCTTCTTCTCTCCTCTCGGTTTCCCCCTTCTAGTCTCGGTTCTTTGCACCAGAGGACTGAACCTCGGCCAGACTTCAGATTTTTGACGCTTTTCACCCATTTTTGATATTTTTAGCATTTTGAGCCCGTTTTTAATTATTTTAACGTGGGATTTTCACCCAAAAGGATATTTTAACATAATGAACCCTAAATATTCACAATTTAATCATATTTTCATGAAAATCTATATTTTAATAATAAAATCTAGTGGGTAAAGTACAAAGAGGTGGAGTGTTGACTTTGCTTTACCTTATGACACAAGCAACCACTCCCACACCCACTCTATGACCAGCCACACCTCCCCACCTTACCTAGATCACATCAATATCCTTTCCACTCAATTATCACCCTTTCCCACGTTTTTGAGAGCTGGACATTCATCCTCTCTCCTCATTTCTCCCATTTTCTCTCATTTCACCAAGAAGATCAAACTCTTTCCTCTCTCACTTCCTCTCTCTAGAAATTCGAGATTCAAGGGCTGATCTTGGGTTTTCCTCCACATTTGGTAAGCATAATTCATTCTCCTTATGAATATCTCACTTCTTTCTACTCAAATCATGGATATCTTACACAAACTCCATCATATTTGTGTTAGAGCTTCGAATCTTCAAGTGAATCTCCAACTGTTCTTGAGTTAAACACTTCCATTCTTCAACAATCATCTTCTGAAATCACTTAAGGTGAGTTCATACCCCTACATTTTAATGTTTTCTCAAGTTTTTAAGGGGGGGAATACAAGTTAAAACACCAAGAACATAACTAAAATTTTCTAACACCCTTCATCAGAAAAGTTCAACTCCATTCACGGACTGTTTTGGACAACTTAAACATTTTATATTTCAAAACTGTTTTAGGTGCAAGTAGTTCCACTTGTTAGCTTTAAAATGACTACTTTCACATCTCCACAATATTTTTCTACAATTTATGATGATTTTTACAAAACAGCCTGTCTTTTCAAACACAAATCCGGACCAGTCTGTGAATATGAGCATTTTAATACGAGTTAAAGGCTTCCAAAAATCATGATAAAAATTTTGTGTAAAAACCAGACTCATTTTAGGAACTCTCAGAATTTACGGATCTAGTTTTTGACTTCGTATGATTTTTGTATGATTTTTCTAAAACAGTGCAGAAAGATTAAGAATTAATTAACAGCTTCTAACTATCAAAACACTTTGTAACATGTTGAGCAAAGTGTTAAGTCTTTGATGACTTCATATATTACATGTATTTCTTGTTATGATATATTTGTATAATAGGAAATTACTTACTTAATTTATAAGAATCCTCCATCATAATCATTAGTACAAAACAAAGCAAGTTAAACATAGCTACATTGTACTATACATTTGACTTACATAGAATGGGATTCTTAAAATACCACAAAGAAACATACTAAACTATAATAGGTATAGTTAGGGTACATATACATTTCAAACATTTTAATAAACTATAATAGGTATAGTTTATGATCATTTACATAACACACTCGTACAAAAAGAAAGGGTACAAATACAAAGTGCCGGGTTTATATACAAAAGGGGGTACAAATAAAAAGTACCGGGTTTTTATATACAAAAAAGGGTACAAATACAAAGTGTCGGGTTTATATAGAAAAGGAGTACAAATACAAAGTGCTAGGTTTATATACAAAAGGGGGTACAAATACAAAGTACCGGGTTTTTATACAAAAAGGGGTACAAATACAAAGTGCCGGTTTTTATACAAAAAGGGGTACAAATACAAAGTGTCGGGTTTATACACAAAAAGGGGTACAAATACAAAGTACCGGGTTTTTATACAAAAAGTGGTACAAATACAAAGTGCCGAGTCTTTATACAAAAAGGGGGTACCGATACAGAGTACCAGGTTCACTTAAGATAGTTATTATGATATTAAAACTATATTTCATCTAGACTTGTTAGACTTCAACTATAATCGCTGAGCGTATATGTTTGAGTCATATAAGAATTTAGTCTCGATTGGCTTAGAATTGGTGGGGCCCACCTCATCTCCTGTTCCTCGTTGGGTTGTGGACCTAGGGCAGACCCACTATATTCAACGTTTTATCTAATTTAAACCTTATATAATTTATATACGCTGGACGATTTTAGAGGAATTCTACAGGTTATTCTAGGGTTCATTAATGCATCATATAGGAATATTTCTATTCACACTTAACTAAGAAAATATTGGATTTTCTGGAAATCAAACTGTATCGATTTTACAAGGAAAACGGTTTCTACTTCAAACAAAACTCTTATGAACTCACCAACTTAATTGTTGACACTTTTTCAAAACTACTTGTATTCTCAGGAAATCAGTGAAACAGGAAAAACTTCAGTGCCTTGAGGATGGGACGTTAAACCGTCAGCAATTTACTTTTGTCATCATAATGTAATTGATTTTGAAACATGTAAACATATACTTTGGTGTAACTTTTTCAATTATATTTATGATGGTTGTATTTACTTTGAGCACTATTATACACGTTGTTGTGATACTGTACATGAAGTCCTCCACCCCCGGACGTTTCCGCCATCCTTGGTTTAAGGGTGTGACAATCATCTACAAAATTCTCTTCTCGATCATCATGCCAACCGCTCATACTACTGTCGATCACTTTAACACTATTGAAGAGGATGTTTCTGGTCCTCACATGAAGATTCAATCGAACATTATTTGGTTTAATCCCAAATTGTCATCATATCCTAAAGATTTGAAGATGCTTGTTCAATGCTTGTATGATTCAGTTCTTACTTATGCTTTATCATATTCTTTTGCTATTCTAATATCCTGGTTATCGCTTGCCCATTCAACAATAGTTCACAATAAGGATATTAAAGTTTATACATTTCAAATGGAATCAAAGGAATAAAACATTTATTGAAGATGCAATTTACACAGATCCTTAATTGTCATCTGAGGGTCTATTCAAAGTTCGTTCGTCTGATTAGGTAATTCAAATGATGAGTGAAATGGGGTATAAACCTCAAATTTTGGTTGTTAGTAGTTTTAAGAAGTCTGGTCTTCTGATCATGTGGAGTTTCTTCTTTGGGGTTACTCTTCGAAGTTTGACTAGAAGAATTTCAGGTCTTCATAAATCCAAATTCAATTATATTCTGAAATGGATGGCTTATACTATGGTTTAAAAGTTAACTATGCTTCATTGTTATGGGTTGAATTCACATCCTATATACAACATTCAAATAAGACTTCTGAGATAGCAAGTGAACATTTTTGGAGTTTAATTATGTGTGAAGCTTGCAATCACGTAGGAATTTTGGTTCTTGAAGGAGTTGAAGTTGCTTAATATTCACATCTTCAAATTCCTAAGATTGCAATCAATGATCCTATTGCATTTCTATCAGTTGGGCAATTTCCAGATGTAATGATTTAACTAGTTTATGAGTCGAATAAATTGTTAATTCAATAGAAATCATCTATGTATCGTGTTCCTTCTCCTTCTACTCCTAAGAAGGTGACATTTCACATTAAAGAGGACAGAATGCAAGGTCCACACGTTGTTTCTATTAATAAGAAAACACATTCTAATCCCAAAGCAATGGTTGTAAAATAAGCCTTAGAGAAAGTTGTCTAGAAACCAACAAAGTTAAAGTCAAATCCTAAGGGTGTTGCCATTAAGGAAATTCCTGATGTGGAGATATGATAGAAGAAGAAGCGAAAGGCTATTGGCTTAATGAAAAGGTTTTTAAAGATCAGAGCTCAAAAAATTGAAGATCAAGCTATCTTAAAATAACCTAAAAAGAAGATTATTGATGATGATATGGTCAGAGTAGTGACGGATAATGAGTTAAGTGATACTGAAGATCAAACACTCCATGTTTCAGCATGAAAGGATGCCTTTGTTAAATTGAATATATAGAATACAAGTAAACAATGTATCACTATACATACATCTAATATGGATACAAACATCATAACTAGTGAAACATCTTCGACCTCAATTACTGAGTCGACAACTATTATCCCACCCAAAGTCCGTATTACCAAGTCCAATATGGAGGATGATAGGTCTTCAAACATCTCTAAGTGCTTATCTTTTTTTTGAACAACAAATCTACTCTATTCTACTCCTATAATTCTCCTAAATATCCACCTATATCCCTCACGGGACTTAAACCCTCAACCTCAAAGTGGGAGGGCAACACCGGATACTGCTGGGCTAGAAGCCCTTTGGTCCTAAGAGCTTATCTAATAAGGAATCAAATGTTAACATGGGTTAGAATCTTTCAAATTCTGATCCATTTTCTTCAAGTTTTCTACCACCACCTTCATCACCACTATTAACTTTGATTATTCCATTTACATCAGTTTCTCTTAATTCTCCAACTTTTGCTGGAATATTAACAAAACCAATCACTACATTATTCTCTTCTCAATCCGCTGATCAGGATATGACGAATACTGAGGAAGATGAAAGGATTAAGTTTGCTTAATTGGATTTTGATCATATAGAAGAAGATGTTGAAGATCATGTCATTATGTCTGGGAAACAATACAAGATTCTTAATTTAATGTTGTACATAATTCTTCATTTCTTGAATGATTCTTCTGCTTTTACCACTTCTTCTGTGAGTAAAGAAGATGATGAGTTTCTTTTGAAGTCTCAAGACATGAAGACAAAGAATCTTAACACAAATGCAGTTACACAGTTGGAGACTCGTCTTATAGACAACATGGCTTCTTAAAAGTTTGATATTATAGAAGTTCAAAATGTTGCTCATGAAAGACATCAAATCTTTGAGAAGATGGTGACCTCTTCGAAGAAATCTATTGTTCTAAAGATTAAAGACCTGGTTGCTTTGGTTACAAAAGAAGTCTATAAGCTTTATAAATTTAGTCTTGGAATTCAGAAGAATGTTGATGTTATTCTTGGTTATACAAGAACATTAATCAAGGACATTCATGCTTTCAATAAGGATTTTGCTGTAGAGTTAAAGTTAAAGAAAGAATCTTATTCAACTATCTTTAAAATCATTGGCAATTCTCTCACATGTTTCATGAGCGCTCATAGAAGTTTAATGTTCCATCAACACCTTTGATTTATGTGGAACAAATTTCTAATATGGTTTCTTCCGTAGATTCTTGTTTTAAAACTCAACTTGCTCCAATTCTAGATATTGTTCTTCGATTGCCCGCAAATGCTATACGCCCATCGATGCTCATGTCACAAGGGGAAGATAAGGGTGGTTCATTGAAGGATGGAGGAGGAGATAAAGGAAAGGTAGTTGGAAAAGTTTTTTAACACACAAATCCTAATTCCAATTCTAGTGAAACCTGTTCATACAACTTCGACAGTAACATCAACTCCACGTATCAAAGTTGATATTTCAAAGCTTCAATCGAAGAAGAGGTTGAATATAAATAAAATAGGTTCAAGTTCTTCAAATGTCAAACATGTTGCAACCACAAAATCAAAGGGAAAACGAAAGGGTGTTCATATGGAGCCCATTGAAGAAGAGAAGAAGAGAATACAACAACTTGAAATAGAAATTTTGAAGTAACTTAACAATATAATGAGAATGAATGAAAATAACCTATTTGTTCTTGACAAGGGATATCCAAATAGAGTGTGGTGCTATGAAACAATTGAGACAGTAGCTTATGGAGAAGTTGATGCATTTGAAAAACAGCCAAATAAAAGCTATGCCATCGAATATATAAATTTTAATAATTTGGACTTACCATTCAATCATTCGATGTTCACATTTACTTAGTTTAAGCTTCCAAAAAACTATTAAGATACCGAGGAGTATAAAAATATTAAGATACGATTTGGTCCTTGGTGAATATTGTTAAACTTGTATTAATAACTCCATATATTATTTTCAAAGGAGTTATTCAAAACTATCGATATAAGGTTGTTAGGGATAATAATACTCTTTTTAAGTTCACTATGGCAAACTTTTTACTGATGAACTTGAATGATCTTATTACTATTACAAAGATTATGGAAGAGTTGAATAATGATCAAGTTCAAGATAGACCATCTTACATCATTGGATATAGTCATATCAAAAGCTTCATAGACTATTACTTATCACATCTATCATTAATAGACTTCGAGTTAGCTACTTCCTTTAAGAAAAAGCCAAAAGTAACCAATTCATTGTTGAAATTCTTGGAATAGTGTCTAAGGCTACATCTATATTAGGCAAGTATTTGACCTGATTGTGCATGGTCCTTTTGGGTTGCCTTCACCATAGCAATTTGGTAGGATGATTTATTATGAGAGAATAGATATTATTAATATATTATGAGAATAATATAATGAATAATAATATTGTTATTTGATTAATATATAAGTGATAGATTAATTAGTATTAATTTGGTGACTTAAAGAGATTAATTAAATAAGAGAGTATAAACTGTCAATTGTTTGATAGTTACACTTTAGGCTGTAAATCCTTATTGGAAAGAGGGTGGACGATTTCTAGGGCTAGGATAAGCCTAAAATCATCCATGGCTTATCTTTGGTAAGGATTAGGATTACTTAGAGTCTAATTTATCCAATTAGGGTTTAAGGGTGAAACCCTAGGAGCCTTACAAGTATAAATAGACCCCTTGGGATAGGGAAATCGGCACCTCCTCTACAGCAAGGATACCCTGGCCGATTTCCTCCTCTCTCCTCTCTCTCAAATCATTCTCTTTGCTAGTTGGTGTTTGTAAGCCATTAGAGGAGTGACAATTGTGACTCTAAAGCTCCAAGAACAAGAAGATCAAACAAGTGTTTCAAGGTATGCTTCTAACTCTGGTTTTGTATTGTTCTTATACCTAATTAGCCATTAGGAGTCTTGGATTCAATGCATGTTTAATTAGAGAAACCTAGATCCAAGCATTAGGGTTTGTATGCGCACATAGGAATGTTCTTATGTACAAAACCCATCAGTGGTATCAGAGCCTAGATTGGTTTCTATTAAATTGATGCTTAATTGTTTGAATGTTAACTGCAAAATTCGATTTTTGTGTTTCTGAGTCATGGACTCGGCGAGTCCAGTTTGGGTACTCGGCGAGTCCGAGCGTCAGGAAGAGCCAAAATCGGGATTTTTTCATATTTATCTTATGGAAACTTACCTTTATCATATTAGATCAACCCAAATCCGATTTTATGATATATATGACTATATTTTTGATCTAATTGAAGATATTTATCAATTAATAAAATATTTAATTTCCTTATATGATAATTATTAATTATTTTGATTAAATTGGTAAATTGTTTTTCAAGAAATCATAAATAAATCAAATATGGATAATTATGTGATTAATTGTTAATTTGAATTATTTGTTATTTGATCCTTTATGTTTTAAATGTTTAAAACTTGCCCTCAAGTTTTGAAATTTATGTTTTGTGATTAAAAGTTTAATTTAGACAATTTAAATTTCAAACCCTAGAATTTTACAAGTTTAAAATCCAACCCTATACTAATATAATATTACAAGATTAATATCTATATATGTATAACTTAAATGCTAGTCTTACCGTTAGTAGGCCTCATTCACGAAGCCGGTCTATAAGGTGGGTATAAGGTTGCGGCCTATAAAATGGCGCTTAATGGGTGTACACTCACACCCACCGCTTGCTTGATCGGTGGAGGGTCGTTAGCCGAACGGGTAGGATAGGGCAACCTCATCCTCTCATTAAAAGTATAATATGAAATACAAAGTAACTACATGTTTTCTTAAAATTTCCCAATCTTAGTTACTTTAGGAAAAGTGAATTGATGCAATCCCATGAAATTACACTTTGCACCTTGCTAAGAAGTTAGTGGAGCGTGTGTGGTTTACCGGCACACTAATTGGTTCTAAGCGAAGGTGGCAAAGGGTGATTCATTGTTTATCATAGTTCGATGGAGCGTGTGTGGTTTACCGGCACATCGAATAGGTGATCGTTACAATGAAGGCACCATGTGAATTTGCATGGTAATTCACACCCGCTTTGTGATCCTCGGTATCCCAGTCACAAACAAGAGGGGCATATCGAGATTTAAACATGCCATTGAAAAGTTTCAATGAATCTCATCCGAACCTAGGAATTCTCAATACATTTAGGACTTAAAGTTATGTTTTTCATGGTGGAGAATTAGTGAATCGTCATTCACTTACCTTCAAATTGTTTGCATATTAGATTACGGCATCCCTTTTCTAATGTGTAAATATTGTTGTTGGATCCTAGCCCTAATTTTTCTTATTGGGTGATAATTAGGGATTCACATTCTAATCAATCTTTGTCCTTTCTATTGTAGATGTCGAACGCTAACAACGCTGCTGCTAGTTCATTCACTTTGATGAGCCTTTGTCAAAAGGTCACCTTTGATGGAACGAACTTTAGCGAATGGATAAGATACATTCGCACGATTGCTCGCTATGAGGATAAGGAGTATGTCCTCGATGAGAAGCTCGAGAAAATCAACCCCGAAATCGCTACTCCCGCCGAAATGACCGCTTTTGAAACTCACGAGCGTGATGCAACGAAGGTACATTGCATCATGATCGCAACTATGAACTCCGAATTCCAAAAGTCCTACGAGGACATGTATCCGTACGAAATGCACCAAGACTTATTGGAGAGATACCATCAAAACGCGAGACAAGAGCGTTATGAGATTTTCACTAACATGATTTCCGCTAAGATGGGTCATGGAGAGTCTCTTACCGTGCACCTGCAAAAGATGCAAAGGTATGTCGACCGCCTTCGCAAGTTAAACGTTGACTTTGGGGAAGACTTGGCGATCGACATGGTGCTTCACTCTTTGCCTCCAAGTTACAATCAATTTAGGATGACCTATCACATGAACAAAGAAGAGGTCACCCTAAGCAAACTCCAAGGTCTCTTGAGGGTCGCTGAGAGCAACTTCAAGGACAAGTCTGTTGCACCAACTCCCAATCCGCCGCGCTCCTGTCTTGGCAATTGGACAAGGAAAGGGAAAGAAGAGGAAGGCTTCGTCTAAGAACTATCGCAAGGTTAAAGCCCGAGATGGTGCCTCTTCTAGTGGGACCAAAGTTGATCCCGCTAAGCCATGCCCTAACCCGAAGGAGGCAGAGTGCCACCACTGCCACAAGATAGGACATTGGAAGAGAAGCTGCCCAGAGTACCTGCAAGCCATCAAGGAAGGAAAGATCAAGCCATCTTTCGCAGGTATATACACAATTAAATCTAACGATTCATCTCATGATATTTCTTGGGTTCTTGATACCGGTTGTGGTTACCACATTTGTTCTAATGTGCAGGGACTAAGAAGAAATAGAGACGTGGAGCATGGAAGAATAAATCTAATCATGGGGAACAGAAGATCGTCGCCTGTGACCAAGATTGGAGTGTATTCTTTAGTGCTTAGGAATGGTTTATCTTTAGATTTGAACAATTGTTGCTATTCGCCAGAAATGGCTAGAAACATCATTTCATTTCATGGTTTGTTTAGACAAGGTTTTAGATTTTCTTTTAATAATGAGAATGGTTCTATTTTAGCTTATCTAAATGGTGTCTTTTACTTTGAAGCTATACCATGTAATGGAATTTATGAAACTGTTATGATTGTTGATAACTTAGGAAATGATGTTTTATGCATGGATTCTTCCAATAGTATGGATAAGGCATCCTTATGGCATTGTCGTCTTGGACATGTCAACAAGAAACGCATAGCCCAACTCCAAAAGGATGGAGTGTTGGAGTCATTCGACCTTAGGGAAGATGACACATGCGAGTCTTGTTTACTTGGAAAGATGACTAAGTCACCCTTCGCTGGTACGTGCGAAAGGGGTGAGGGTCTATTGGACCTCATACATACCGATGTGTGTGGACCGTTTAGATCTACCACGAAGGATGGAAACCGCTTCTACGTGACTTTTACCGATGACTATAGTAGATATGGGTATATCTACTTAATCAAGCAAAAGTCAGAAACTTTTGAAAAGTTCAAAGAGTTCAAAATGAAGTGGAGAATCAATTGGGCAGGAAGATCAAGCTTCGATCCGATCGAGGAGGAGAGTACCTAAGTCTTGAATTCCACGATTATCTCAAGGAGTGTGGAATAGTTTCACAATTGACGCCACCTAGGACACCACAATTGAATGGTGTGGCAGAAAGGCGTAATCGAACCTTGTTGGACATGGTTCGCTCTATGATGAGTCGTGCTTCGCTATCTATCTCTTTTTGGGGGTATGCCTTAGAGACTGCCGCCCATATCCTTAACCGAGTCCCTACTAAGAAGGTTGCCAAAACACCTCACGAGATGTGGACGGGGA